AAACTAATTTAGCAAAGATCCACTTTGTGATATACTGTGTTCTTATATAACAAGATTTTTTTTTTTTTCTAGTACTGTGTCTCATGGTAAACATGCCAAAATTGTTACCATTCTGCTATAGAATTCTAATAGCAACTCACCTTCTTCTTGAGTTAGTTGGCTTTTGCTGAGCTTTATTATTCCACATATGTCCTTCTGCTGGAACCTTTTACATCAGAAAACCTTTGAAAAGTGGGAGTAGCTCTTTAAATTTATCTGGAAGCAGTGGGGTTTCTTTTACAATTGGCTGTTACTGCTCACGTAGTTTTATTTGTTTTATTTCAAGGTAGTAAATGCTATGAACTTGTCAGATCTTCATGAAAAGACATCCTATCCATAAATTTCCAACACAGTATCAACTTCCGTTCATTCAACATTTTCCTTCTTTTAACATCTCTTTCAAAGTTAGAAAATGCAATTTATGCGTCAATGTATTTTCTAACATTTTTGGAAACTTCATTTGATGCTGAGTGTCAGAATCCTACTTACCTTGTAGCAAGTTCTAAAATGTCAGCTCTTTAACACAAAAGGACAGCTTACAGGTTCCCTGCGTACCTGTACTTTTAGAGACATACCATATACTCCGAGTATGACATTTTTTCTGCTGAGATCATCTTTTTCTTGCAAATCAGAATGGAGAAGCAAGGAAGCTCCTAACATCTTACCCATAGTTTATTGATAACGTATTTGTTAATTCCAAAGACATGCACATGAATTTCTCAGGTTTGTTGCTTTTTGTTTGTTTTCCCACTTATTATTTCCGATCACTCCTCTCAAAATGCTCTGAACCAAATTCTCTGGGACGTCCAGCATCGTTGCTTATGAGTGCACTAATATAAGGTCTGGAAAGGACAGTGAAATCACTTGAAGCCACAGAGCAGCTCAAATTCGAGAGCATATTTAGAGGTATTGTTCTTGGTGATATTAAATGCTCAAAATAGAACATAAAACATTTTTTTTCATATTTCTAGTCAGAACAACTGTTTCCTGAAATAATGAGAGAGAGATATATATATCTCATTATTTCAGGAAACAGTTGTATATATATACATACATATATATATATATATATATATATATATATATATATATAATGGTGAAGCACAGTATAGCATTAACAGCATCAACTCTCAGAGCACCATAAAGACAGAGTACAGTTACAAGCAATAGAGGAAGGCATGTTAACCACCCCGTGAGAATGCAGCACAAGCTAAAACGATCAAACAGAACACAAGGCACATGTTTTAGCTCTCAGTTACTTCACCAAACCAGCACGGCTGCTTTCAGCTGCAAAGCCAAATGGCTGCACGGCATGGCACAGCATGCAGTGCTCCCAAACCTCCCATTAGGATAAACACTCCCACTGAGCACACATGCAAAACACAGCACTCCCAAGCCTCTCTCCAACTTCTGCTTAATGTTGAAATCTTCCCTGCTACTTTATGATTGCTTATTAAATTGTGCATTTCACAAACAGGATGATTGCAGTATCTCTCATCCTGCCCTGATCTATGCAAGTCCCACGTTGTTCATAAGGGGCTGCCACACAATTGGCAAAGTATGTCCCCCCCCGGGGTTGCTAACTATGCCTGGGCCAGGCCTTGCTTAACAGGTTCTGTAAGACAGTAAGATGAAGATGCAAGCAAGAGAAACTACTTTCTACATTCCCTCTAAATTAGCATGTTAATATGTTGGATGCTGTGCTTTGCATTTTCCCTCCTGCAAGTCTTTGCAGATTATAAAAAGCAGTAGTTAATCCTTCAAAGGAAAGAAAAAAAACATTCTTTCTAATTCCTTATGTGCTTGTATCATCCTACGGAGTTAAATTGGAAGTTTAATAACATTAAAATCCTTACAATAGAAATCTGTAGCATAGCATGTAAACAACATTTAATCCTCCATTTGGTTCTTTAGGTTTCTTTTGCAATTTCTACAGCTGTCCTTCCTGTAGTTTTTCTATGATATGCCATGAAGAATATTCCCCATACAGTCTGTTGTTTTATTCTGTTGGGAACCTCACTGCCATTTTGAATTAAATACATAAACATGCTAAAACATAAGGTTCTTACCTTGCTGATACTAACATCCTTCCCTTAGAAGGACGGCTGCTTCTCCTTCCCCTGTCCTGTGGACCCCTTACAACACCTCCCTTACCTTTCAGATTTCTGATGTTAGTCGACCTGCTGGTAACAGCAACAACACTAGGAACATGGGAGAATAAGAGAGTGAAGGGCAGTTACTGAAGGTGATATTGGAATGATACTAGCTGAAGATTCAGTTGTGAATATTCTGTGGGTACAGAAGTGCTGCAGACAAAAAGCTGGGCAGTCTCCAGCCACAAGGGTTAGCAAATTCAGGAGACATTGAAGGAAACTCACTCAGCAGACTATGTTACTCTTACCCTCATGGCTTACTTTCTCTGATTGCCTATTAGAGAATAAATAGCAGCTCTACTGAGCTCAGAATGCACGGACACATTATGGGGCTGGGGTATCAGCCTGTGATACACAAGGGAAACAAGAGAAAGATAGAACACAGTGCTGGCATCTAAACATCCTATACCTTACCTTGTGACTCAGTGAAAGTTGCCTTGAACTCTATTGCAGAAGCTGCTTCCAAGGATGAAACCCACTGATTTAGAAGGGAAATTTAGAAGGATTTTTAATTGTGAAGAAAACAGGAAGGGATGACATGGGAGATAACTGATATCACACATTGATCAAGGAACATCTGAAACTGTAGAAAGGCTAACAGAAGTATTTGGCTAAATTTAAGGTAGTCCAAAAGATGACTACGCCGTACATTACATCTTACTACTGACGTAATGACTCCTGTGTCACAGAGCTGTTTTTCTAATGTTCTTTCTAATACGCATGAAATACAAAATCCATCAATCAGTACTGTTAGTGGTGACTCCAGCTTGACAAGTAACACTGTTACTGGAGCGCCTCTTCCATACAACCTTTTAAGTAAAATGTTCTCTAGTTATGGAATTGATGTTAAATTCTTGATGTACAACAGGTTCTAGCTGACTTCCACTGAATTCATCATCCACCAGTAATTCTGCTCTTTAAAAATAGATTCTTTTCTTTCCACATCTTTCCCAGTCTTTGCATCACTGTTTCACCAGTACACATTCCCTCCATGCTCTTTGTCTTTCTCACTGAATATTTACAAAGGGCTGAATTTCCTCGCAAGATTGGTAATGAGTACAGTATGTGAAATAAATGCAATAAAATACCAAGTTTTAAAAAAGCACATGTAATCTGGCAAGTGCTGGTTTCTCTTTAGCGTCTGTTTCCTATCACGAATTTTGACTGCATGAGCCAGAAATGCATGCAGATCTTCCTGCCTCTTCTGAAGTTTATATATTTGGACTGAATGAATGCCCATTTCTTTATATCATTTTTGTCATCCAAAAATCCATTTCAGCAATAAACTAATGTACATATATGAATTACTGGTGACTAAAATTCTGGTGACAAAACTATAAAGTTGCAGAATATAGCTAGTTGGTGTAGAATCAAATAAAATTGCAGTGTCCTTTTCACTGAATGCAAACTCTAGGTTTTCATCCCTGTTTAAAAAAAAAAAAAAAAAAGAATTTGTACTAAAGCAGAAAATTCTTGGCTTCTCCCCTTTCCCTCTTCCCCCCTAAAAAAAGAAAATCACCTCAAATATTGACTTTGAGTTCAAGAAATAACTGGTATCAGTAGCAATATTGTCAGGGGCTGAGACAACTTCTTACGAAGGAAGTTCATGCTTATCTCTGACAACTGAGCAAAAATTTAATTAATTTGCATTCATAAGGCTCCATTTTAATTCTTTCTAGACTGATTTGATTTATAAAAATTGAAACAACTGACGTTGCTTGATAAGCAAACATCAAATAATGCAAATTTAGCATTCATTTCTCAGCATTAACTTGATCTTACATTTTTCTTTCCTCAGATATGAAACTTAAATCATAGCCCCCGACACTTCTTGTTTGTACTGATATTGCCACTGCAGAGTTTTTGTGGAATTCCAGTTTGTTATTTTAAAATTTTCCTTTTGCCCATTTTCCTTGAAACCATCTTTGCTAATGGAAACTGTAAGCATACTTTTCCAGGAGCTCCTTGCTTTAACAACAGAACAAAAAAAGCCACCTGAATTAGAAACAGTTTTCTGACATGTTTCTTACTACAAGAAAACAGAATACCTTCAGAATTCTTAATACAGTCCATCAAGGGACACTTTCCTTTCGGCCAATAAAATTTTACATCTTTTGGCCAGTGTTGAACTTTGTTTTGAATGTATCATGTATTTCACTGATGCCTTGGATAAAAGCAAAAGCTGCTACAGTGCAAGCATGGACATACATATTCTGTTCTATTACCTTCACAAGAGTAACCCAAGGAAGAGGCTGTAACCTCTTTCCATTCTGTACGTTGCTGCTCTTTCCATCAGCTCTAAGAGCCTGTTACCAACTGTTCCACCTACCTTATTAAGATTTTGCTTAAACGTTGATCTTGGATGCCTTCACTTTCTTACATTTGCTGGTTTCCTTATAACTACTGCACAAGGAAGTCTGTATAATGTTATCTGAAGTGTGTATCTAAAGTAAGTCTGCTATTTCCTCCTGATTGTGACAATTAAGCTGTTAGCTGATTCTCTGGGAGGGAAAGTATGATCCCCTAGGACTTCAGGGACATAGGAAACGTACATTACGTTACTAAAATTCTAAAGATATGAAATAGCACACAGAATTGTGCAGTAAAAGGAACACATTAATGGAACATGCTTTGAAATATTACATTTAATGTAGAATCATAGAATGGCCTGGGTTGAAAAGGACCACAATGATCAGAGAGGCTTCAACCCCCCTGCTATGCGCAGGGTCACCAACCACCAGACCAGGCTGCCCAGAGCCACATCCAGCCTGGCCTTGAATGCCTCCAGGGATGGGGCATCCACAGCCTCCTTGGGCAACCTGTTCCAGTGTCATCACCCTATATATAATATATATTCTTCCTTTCATAAGATATTCAGACAGTCATTGGCTATGTAGTGATTAGACCCAGTCCTTCCAATCTATGCCAGCACTCAGTCACACTGAAATCTCACGCTCATTAAAAATAGCGTTCTCTTAAAGGTGTTTGTTACAATAGGTCACTAAATACTTTCTAAATACTTTCTTTCCCCCCAAAAAAGAAACAAAACATTTTCCAGAATAAAGAAAGGAATTAACCTATGTCAAGCAGGAGGAGTCTGCTGTTAATTTTAAAATGATTAACAGCTTAGACTAATAATAAAAAAAAATTAAGAGAGTGGATGTACCTTAAATCTTTTACTGCTTCTCAGAAATGCTGTCCCCTATTCTGAGCACTTTTCTCAGTAACCTAAATATAAATGCACAAATAAGAAAATATCTCAGTGTAAAGGGTCACTAGCTTATGAGTAGTCCATTAAATTATTTTTCCTCATTAAATGTTATTAAGCCCTGCCATTTTTGTTGGTTTATGGGTATCATCAATTTTAATGACTATTGCTTTTTTTTTTTTTTGCTGAGTTTGAGTATCTTTATCCCTTTCGTTTCCTTGTAGAATATAAAAGTGAATAAACTAACTTAATTTTTGTCAAAGAATATTTATCATACAGTTGTAAACCTCTATATAAATAAAAGCAAATTAAGATGTATTTTAAATTAGATAGAAAATGTGTAGAAAAAAAGACAGCACTGCAGAATCTGAAGTAGGCTAACCATAAAATAAGCTAATAGCTTAACTACAAAACTTAAGTAAAAAAAGGCAAAGTGCAGGAATCAACATAAAAATCTAAACAAAGGAAAACAAACAAACCCAAAACGGTCCTCTTATTAAGACAGGAAGGTACATTTATACTCTTACATATTTCACAACACCTACGAACATAAAATACAGATAGTTGAAGCTGCTTGACCTTGGCTTGTTACTTTACCATTCCTAGGTGCCATATTGTAGGATAGGAGGTCTCAAAACTCTGCTCCAGTAGCTCCTTGCTTCTTGAAACTAGTAACTTCAGAGAAGAAGCTGTACTGAACTAGTAAGACTTCTTCTTAAGTTAAATTGCTTATAATAGGAGCAAACCAGATGTTTGAACCCGAAGTGGGAACAGGAGATTTAAACTAAATATCTCTGTTTGCTAAATGCTACTATGTTGACAAATAGTAAGACGACACGCTAATTTAACTGGTACCATACTTCCATTTTTAGCTTAAGCAACTGTGGGTAAAGAGTGTGAACACAGATAAGCAGACAGAGATCCCAGTATCTGCTGGGCACAATCTCTGTCTCCCCTTGGTGTTCCTTTGTTTTGGTTTGTTTTGTTTTAAGCTGTAAGAACTCTGTAAATGGGTGTTCCCAGCTGCTGGCAGCCATATGTGCTGCCTACCATCTGTTTTCATTCCATTGTGCTATGGAGACAAACATACTTTATTTTTAGTGTTCTACATTTCCTGATGTTGCACACAGTGTGGTTTAGACATAAGACATAACCCCTATCATGTGAAAAATCTATGGAAAACTGATGAATAAAGGTGACATCACACAGGATCAGATAACTTTCTTTACCTGCATCTTAGTGCAAATACATAATTTATAATCAAGATTGTTCGCTTGATTCTTGTATGTATACCTGTGCTTTTTACCTGCACTGCCTATAAGGGGCTTCCATAATGTTTTAAACATTTTCTTCCCACCCTCCTCGCAGGTTCCTTGGATATAGAAAATTACTCCTAAAATTTCTTGTGCTACTAGCTAGCATTTGCTATTCTGCACACAGCATTCAGAGCTTAAACAGGATATGAAGAAATAAACATCTGTACGATCAACTGTAGAGAGACAACAGTACAATAAAGCACAATTGTTTAAAAGTTACATATGCCCTGATCAACATCACCCACAACTCAACTAGAATCATAGCATTGCCAGCTTAACCTAATATCCACACTTGTAGAGTACATCGCAGTACAGATGTCTCCACCACATATTATTGCAAATTCAGGATGCTCTAAGTTATTAAGCAACTATAGATGAAAGCAAGCAAAATATTAGAGTAATTACCTTTGGTTTCAAAAATTAAAATTATAATCATTTTTGATTTGCAGTGAAATAAATATTGAAAGAAGAAATACACACCTTTAAAACAGCTCACGCATGAAGAGACTGAAAATGTTCACTTTTACAGAGTACCTCAAAAGTCATCTAAGGGGATTTAATTTTTTCTTCTTCAAATTAGGTCTATTCAATCAGGTTTCTATCAATAATTAATTCCTAGAATAAGCACTTTTATTCACTGCATGCAATCTTACAAGTACAGAAAGTACTTATTGTTTAACTAGATTAGTGGAGCTTTTTTTTTTTTTAATTCATTCAAATAGTTTAATAATGAACATTACCTGCTCTCCTGCTTGAGTGGATGACTTTAATAAGTTATCTGAAGTTATTACTCTTCCCCCAAAGGTTCCAACCAAAACTGTGAGAAAATTACTTTCATATTACTACTATTAAAATTATTCTGCCTTCTGTTTTCAAATTACAAAATGCAGTTAAGCTCCTTTACAGTTCCTGATAGTCCTCTATTTTAAGTAATAAAATAAAGGAAATAACTTGTCACAATTAAGAAACAGAAAGGTGAGGGTTTCTTTCTAACTACTTTCTTCCACTATTGCATAAAGACTAGACTGTAGTGCTTATTTGTTTGATTCCCACACAAATTCTGAGCTACCATTTAGCTGAAACTAAAAGCAGGAGGAGTTTTGAATGAAATGGCCAAATTCACTTGGCATTAGTCGAGTATAGACAACATCCTTCCATACAGCTACCTGTCCCTCAGTCGTTCTATTAAGGGAGCAAGACAGTGATTGGAAGAGTAAGATTTAAAAACAAAAAGGAAGAAAAGCAAAAGAAAGAAAAAAAGCTTTAAAATCACACTGACCTTAGGGATATCATCCCTAATTTTCATTTATTTTAAAATAAAACTATAGCTCAAACTTTATATTATAATCTTATAATAGAACTACTCTCATACGTTCCAGCCATAGCCTTCCTTGAATTCTCTGATAAAGACTATCTATGCAGAACACTCACTCCACACTTTATTCACAGCACTGCTACATCTGAAATCTCCTGGGTGGTGGTTTTATTGTATCCAATGCAAAGAAACTTAAACATTGTACACAGTAACAAAAAATTGTATGCACTTTTACACCAAATTTGGGAAGAGTATTCAAAGCACCTCAAGACAATAGCTTAAAAAATGATTTCAACACCTACACACTACATTAATCTTTTTAAAGGTGCATAGATTTGAATTTATATTGTAAAAGAGTATGTATAATAATAATCTTTTTCATAGAAAAAAATCTGATATTCATTTTTAAGTCTCAATTTCATATCACAAGCCAGGACAAAATCTTAGGTACATAATGAACATTTCTTTCAAAATTAGTCTATTATCATACCTCCAAAGATCATTTTAAGATTGCTTCCATATTTCTCTTAATTTCAGGTAATTATTACACAAAATCAGATCTATCCTTGAAAATATTTGTCTTCTATTATTTTTAAAATATTTTAAAATCAGCACAATGCATTTGTTGTAATCAAATAATGCAATTCACATTGTTTTTGCAAGAAGTAGATTAAAAAAACAAAACAAAAACCCCAATAACCAGTAAGCCAACCACAAAACTCCAAATTAAAACTGTTCTGTGCTCCTATGATCACATTTTGGTTTCTAAAAAATGCTTTCTTTTCTTTAGAATTTAAGAAAAGAGCATTAATTTAATGGTTCAATCCTTAATTTTTGAGTTTCAAAGCAAAGAAAGCTTTCATTGTGATGGTTACCTATTCAGTACCCGTGCAGTTTCCATTTGGCAAAATGGAAGGATTGAAATAGGAATAAGCTGTCTGCAGGATAGTCAGGAACTGCCAACCAAGACTTTGTGTTGTTTCCACGTATGACGTCTTCAAGAGAACTTCTGTGGATTCCTTGACTTCAGGTTCTCAAAGGTCAGCAAGTTTTATAATCATCTCCAGGCAATTTTCTCCACATCCTGTTAAATTGTTTCTGAACAGCTGCGTGTGTTGCCACGCAGCTTTACCATCCCCTCCACTTAGAGTTGCTTCCAGTGTAACTTCTGTTGCACCACAAAAATCTGAATAGGAGGAGAGATTTCCATCTATTGGAAGAAAAAGATAAACAAGTAAGGGTCCGCTCCAAACAGCATACAGTGCTAGAACACATATTAAAAGGGTAATGTATCGTGAATGTTTAAGAATCCGAGTCAAAACTGTACAAATCAATTTATCAGCAGCAGAAATAAAACAGATGCAGAACTGCAGTTTATTTTTCATGCTCAAAGGATCTAGTCAAGATTGACCGCCACACACACACACACACATCTATTCCTCCCTGTAAAACACACAGCTTTTATTCACTGTATTTTTGCTAACCCCACTATGCTGCAAGTAGTATTTAGATTACTAAAACTTGCTTTCCTTCCTTTTTCTCTGCCAGTTTTGATTAAACACAGTGTTTTTCTGACCTTGTTAAGAAAGACTGAATTAGAAATGTCAACATATGTTTACATTTCATTTTTAATATTTGCCCAGTGGTCTCCCCATATAAACTACACATATGCAATTACACTTTTGCTGCATGATGTAATTTCACACTTACCTCCTACCAGAATAACTTCTGTTGTGGGAGAGTAAAGTCTCCACTTGATTCTTCCACTATGAAATGTCTGACTGCTTGTCTTAATTGAAATGTTATCTATTTTTAGACCAACTGATTTGCACTCAAACTTCCAGCTGATGGAAGCAGAGGATGACCCCTCCTTTCTGGCTAGATAAACCTAAATAAAAATAAGACATAGTCACATCAAAAATTGAGACCATCAACACACATTTAATTAATCCCTGTAACAAGGTTATTAAATCTTAAGAGTATACTTTCATCCTTTATTAAGCTTTAAAACTGCTCACATTACAGTTTTTTTTATATGATCTCTTTCTAAATCATTAAGTCTATTCAACAGTTAGGTAACTGTACATGATTCATAGCCCTTCACTAGGAACACTAATCTATTTCAACATGCTCATTAAAGCTCACTGTATTAAAAAAACAGACTTCTGGCTTTTATATAAAAACCATAGGTCCACACACTCAGTTTCATTTTTGTTGGTCAGTATTCTGGATTCTGCAGATGTGGCTCCTTGCCACACAGCACTTTTTCCAGGACTTCACATGACTTGATTAAGGCAAATCATACATGCCAGCCATAAATACATCCTGTACTAACACTAATCGGGCTGTTAAAAATCTGCATTTGTCCCAGTGCTGTTCTGAACATCACATGGCTGCACAGTTAAGCTCACACATCAACATTCACTGAAGAGTTACAATGAACCCCCAAAAGGGTTGCGAGTTCATAGACTCATAGAATGGCCTGGGCTGAAAAGGACCACAATGATCATTTAGTTTCAACCTCCCTGCTATGTGCAGAGTCGCCAACCAACAGACCAGGCTGTCCAGAGCCACATCCAGCCTGGCCTGGAACGCCTCCAAGGTTGGGGGCATCCACAGCCTCCTTGGGAAACCTGTTCCAGTGTGTTACCACCCTCTGTGTGAAAAAACTTCCTCCTAATATCTAACCTCAACCTCCCTGTCTCAGTTTAAAACCATTCCCCCTTGTCATCATCCACCCTTGTAAACAGCCATACCCCTCCTTTTTATATGCTTCCTTCAAATATTGGAAGGCCACAATGAGGTCTTCCCAGAGCCTTCTCTTCTCCAAGTTAAACAAGCCCAGTTCCTTCAACCTTTTCTCATAGGAGAGGTGCTCCAGCCCTCTGATCATCTTAACAGTCCTCCTCTGGACCCGCTCCAAGAGTTTTATGTCTTTCTTGTGCTGGGGACCCCGGCCTGGAAACAGTACTGCAGATGGAGCCTCACAAGAGCTGAGTAGAGGGGAACAATCACCTCACTCTCCTGCTGGCCACCCCTCTTTTAATGCAACCCAGAACACAGTTGGCTTCTGGGCTGCAAGCGCACATTGCTGGCTCATGTCCAGTTTCTTGTCCACCAGGACCCCCAAGTCCTTCTCTGCAGGGCTGCTCTCAAGGGGTTCTTCTCCCAATTTGTATAAATACCTTGGATTGCCCTAGTTGTTATGTACAGATCTAGTACAGAAAATGTTAGAAGAGAATTATGCCCTTGCTCCATTTTTCATTACTGAAAAGCAAACTATTCCTTAAGGTAGACAAACATTTGGCCAGAGATCCTTTAGACCAGCAAGATGAGAGAGGGAACAGAACAACAACATCCTACAGCAGCTGACAGGAATGCTCAGTTGCACCATTGGTAGCTGTTGCTGGAAAAGCTTGCTAGTAAGTGACCCCTTCCTATTCTACAGGCATCAATTCTTTTCTTCCTAGAGTAAGAGCATATGATTCTTCTGCTGTTCATTGTCCTGACAGATGGGAAAGAGTCTGGGCAGGGCATACAATAATCTGGCTGATAAGGTTTTTGTCTTATTGCAACCATAATGTTTAGGATGACAACTTCTTCCTTTGGCTGTGCATCAAAGAGACATGATACACATTATAAAGCTATTCCCCAAAGCCAAAAAAAAAAAGGGTTTTTTTTGGAGAGAAGTACTGCTTTTCAATAAAGCATTATCACACATTTGCCCAGAAGCATAAGAAGGAAACAAGTTTTTAAGATTTGGTGCTCTAGCAAGGATTCTAACATTCTGAAAAGCAAGCTAAATTTATCTGCAATTTCTTAAATCATCTGGCAATCTTACCTGAAACTTTCCAGTAATATTCATGAGCATCAGCTAAATTGTGTAGACACCAAGAGAGGTTTTGATGCAGAGACAAGGATTTTCTACTTTACTGGCACTGTCATACTTTCACAGTAGATTTAACACTGTTAATAAATCCTTACCATTTTCCAATCTGTTTCAACCTTTCTCCAAATAGACTCTGCCTTCCAAACACCTGTTCCCCAGCCAGTTATTTTTTCACTATTATTGGAAATCCGTGTATAACTATCTTCTACAACATTGTAGATGAGGTGGAAAAGTTTAGAAGACTTCTCTTTTTCAGAGGGAATAAAAACTACTTCTTTTCTCTCCTGAAAAAGGCATAAAGACAAGCACATTAATTTTCCAAAATATTTCAAGTGAGATGACGTTGCTTTTAATCAGTGTACCATACTTTCCCTTCTCAGTTATGTCAACTGAAAAAAGCCCCCAAAAAATCACATGGCATTTATGCAAAACAAAGACTTCTGAGCTACTTTCCTACAGCAGACTTGTCACTTTTCCAGACAGGAGCAATAATTCCATTTTTAAAATTTTCATATTATTAATTTTGCAACTAAATTATTAAAGAAATAACAACATCTGCAAATTTAAGGAAAAGAGAGTAACTTGTTAAGAGCAGAAAAAATATTGAGTATATTTCTATTTCTTGTACAATCAACAAGTAAATGGTTATCTGGAATATCAAATGTAGAGTCTGTGACTATCATATACAGGTGTTTGTACATGGTAGTTTACAAATCCATTTCAAAAAAGCTAACTTACAAACTCCACAACTTCATAGTATTTTTAAAGATTTCGCACTGTTCTTACCAATTTCAGCAAAATAAAAATTATATCTTCTAAACTGAAATAAACTTAGTTCCTCAAACGTAACGATAGGAAACATGCTAATTTCACCTAACCACTTTAGGATTGACAGTTGTTCCATATATAAAGTGATGGGGAAAGTCACTCCTTTCCACACTAGCTCAAACTAAATATGGCTGAGGTTATGGGAAACTCTCTTATAATAAAAGAATTCAAGATAACTGAAACAGTCAAAGAGATTGACAAGAAAACTGTTCAGGCTTATTATTTGAGAGGTTGTTCCATTCTCACAGTCCTATCTGTTTCTGCATATTTTTGTTAATAAAACTAATTGGTCAAAACCTGCTATTAGTCTTTAATCAACAGTACCTAACTATATAACCACATACTTCTTAAAGTTTTCCCAAAATCTTCTACCTGCCCTACAACTTACTAGTTTGTTGCATCATAACAAATCAAAATGGAATAAATACTTATTTTATTTATTTTATTTTATTTATTTTAAGTGCAAAACTTAATACTTCAGCATGACTCAGTTATTCCCAAACATTTTTTCAATCAATGGACTGCCACCAATCTTCAACTTCCTAGTGTACCATTACTCAATTCAACCAAACTTGCCCCTAATGTTTTTCCAAGTTTCAATGAACATAATGTTTAGTTCACCTACCACTGACTCACGAAGCACTATTCCTCTGCAGACCATAGTCACTGAACTTCTAATTAGCTACCTTTAGGATGGTCACCAGTGGAAAAATTAAATACCTCTGAACCAGTTTCACCTCTGGCTATTCTCCAAGCCATTGAACCCGATGTCCTTCCACCAAATTCTCCGGGTTTAGGTGTTTTAGGAGAAATGAATTCAGCAAGTTCCACAATTGTTCTTTCCAACAGCTCTTTTTTTCTGCTTTCTGACAAAGATTGTTGTTTCTGAAAATACATATAAGAAAGAAATAAAAAGTTCAGAAAGAAACGTATATTTAATACAGCCCTAGAGTGACACCAGCAGGAAAAAAAGAATTTGAAAAAACAGGCCAACACTTGAAATTCAGACTGATTCTAAGAAACATTAATCTTAATCCACATGTGCCAGTTATAACCAGTTCATAAATCAGTTATAACTGTATAATTATTTGACAAGTGTTTAGTGCTTTTTCCGTACACTTCCATGCCCTAACTATGTGGGTTTATTTTAGAATAAGGCTTGTGCTGTATTTATATTTGCTTGGATGGTGAAATACTTAACATATTTTAGAGTTATTCATAGCTATTCTGTACCTCAGAGAGAAAACAAACATAATTATTGGGTCAAACTTTTCTTTCCTAAGGTGGAGTGATTTGGTTGGCAGCAGGCTTGCTTTTGTGATTAAATCCAAACAAAAGATTCAGCTGGTCTGTGAAAGAATTAATTCACAGTGACTGATTCCATCATAAATAAACTAATACATTCCTATTTTTGCAGGTATCAGAAAGCTGATTTAAAAATAATAATAATAATTCTTCCAGGTAAATTAAGCAAAACTTAGAGGAAAAGAAAGAATTTTATAACAGTCTTTAAGCACATTGATAACACTAGGGGTGTCTTCCTCATACACACACACAAAAAATCATTAAGAGGCTAGGTTTCAGCTGCCACAGCTTTCATGTCAAACATACAGAGGTGATAGGTGAAGACTTTTTCCTTAACTGTGGGTACACCTGCACAGGAATGGAAAGTTTGCATTTTCCACTTCAGTGATCATACAAAGCATGCATGCTGAGCCCATTAAGACCTGAAACTTCTGGTCTATAACTATTCCAGTCATCTCAAAAAGCAGTCCCAAACCTTGAAATTTTTGCTATTAGGGATCAGAAAAAAATTGATAGGCCCTTGTTCCAGAAAACAATGTAGAATTGGATGAAGAAATGGAAAGCAGATATAGAGAATTTATGAGTTGCAGAGATTCCAGCTGCCAACCAGCAATTCTAACATAACTAATGAATGATGAGCAGTGACTCCAGCACTCCTTTGTGAAATACCACATCTTCCTGAACCTGCCACTTGCCTAAGTATCTGGGTATCCACAGGCAGTACTACAGAGCTCACTCCAGCTCAAGAGGAACTTTGATATTGCTTACCCTAAGTTATTAATTCCACTCTATTTTCTTTCAGTCTCTTTGAGGGAAGCCCAGTGTCAGGGGTTACCACCACTGATACTGGTGATACCACAGTAAAAATTGCTGCTGCTGCTTTACAGCTGTCCTAACAGTTTCTGGAAATTGTTGACAAAGAACACTGCTTTTACACAAGCAGGGTGTTTCCAAAGGCAAGCCACAAATGACACAAGAATTTCAGGAGTCTCTAAAATGCAAAGAGTACAAGTATGCTAATTGTTGTCACTATTCCTTCCTCCCATACCTCCCAACAGACTTTTACATATAGCTGCTAATACCACTAAGATACGCATAATGCTCAGAGTCAGCAGAAATGAACGCTGCATATAACTGGGAAAATCTGTAACTAAGTTTCCTATAAATGACACTGTTGGCAGTACATTTGTGAACTGAACTGGATTCCAAGAACTCCATTATTCATTATCATGGCTCAAGCTTCCTCCTTTTGTTTCTTTTATCCTGAAAAGCTACTGAGGAAAAGAAAATAAGTGGGAGGCACAGTGTGAGAATCATTTAACTTGGAGAAAGGGAGGGCAATTTATTCATCAAAATAAGAGATCATAAAAAATGATTGACAAAGGTGTTCCATTAGACCATTGAGAAAGCTTTAATATGATACAGCAGTAGGGAAAGCGTGTGGCATAGCAAAAAAGGTCTGAGATCTCTGACGTGTGGAAAAAAATAGGAGAAATCCAGGGGTTTTGGGGAAGCATATCTATATTTCTTCCTTGTACTCACTTTTTAATGAAAATTTCATCTGAAACACAACAGGAACACTCGCTATTTCTTGTTCAAAAAAATGCTCACATCAGCTCATGAACTGCTTCCATAAAAACATAGATTGAATAATCAGACCAATAGACCAACACACATAGCAGTATCTGTTGGAGATGCCAACACACATCTTTTACTGGAATGCTCTAGACTTCTGAAAGTGAAACAGTGTGATCTTAAGAGTGACATCAAGAAGATAAGGAGGAGGCCAGGAAAACCAGCCAATGAGACATTCGTACAGAATTTCCTCATTCCAACAATACTGCATTCTTTTTTTCTTCCC